CTATCCCTCCACTTGTCAGTCCATCCCTCCCTATCAGAATAGCTGTCTATGTATATGCTTGCTTGTAGTATCCTCTAGCTGAATGTGCCTCTGTTCAAACCACCTATCTATCCAATTAACTAATTAATTAGATTGATTATTTAATTCAAATTATTATTTTTATTATATACTAATTAATATCTTATATTTTATATTATATATATATATATACTTTATATATTATGTTTTTTTATTTGTATTTATTATCAATTCATTTGTATAATTTGCTTAATAGTTTTCAAAATCTTTTAATCCTTTGTATTAATTTTTTAAATCTATTTAGTACTCCATCTACTCACAAAGATGCGCGACTGTGCGTGTTTATGTATATGAGTAATATCTATATATCTATATCTATATATAAATCTACCAATCAAAATGCAATCAATCAAACATTTAATCAATCAATCAATCTATCTATCTATTGTCTACACAACCAGTCATATTAATGATTTGCTCATTTAACCGTTTTAATTTTGCATTTTGACTGTTTTTATTTTCAGATCCGCCAATTTGTATGAACAGGTCTGGTCCGACAAGCAAGAAGGGTTGGGAAATTGCATTCATATCAGCTCGACACTTCCATGCCATCTTTCATCCCCCTGCTCTGCTTATCCATTCTTTGTTTCCAACCCTTCACCTTTATTGTCTCTAGTCTAGCCGCCGTCCCCTGCCCACTTTAGACATGCACATTCTGGGCAAAAAAACATGCTTCGTGATGCACCCACCGATTATGGGGTAGATGAAGAGACGAGCAAATTGGCCAGTCTGGTAATTATAGTTGTTGCTTGTTGATTGCGCACAGCCATCACCGAGCCCGAGAGACTTGTTGTCATCTGATCGGTTTTGTTGCCAAGTGGCCAAAGTTGTCGTCTGAAGGGAGGGCGACATGCCCGGTGGTTTAAGGAGAATTTCTTTACCGTCTTAAGGATCCACATCTCAAAGGGGCGAAGTTGTGCGAACTCGGGACTGAGATGCAATTCCGAGGTCGACTGAAGGGGTTGGTATGGCGTTTCAGGGCTAACGCCAAGGCCATTATGATAAACTTACGAGACGCGGTTTCGTGATTGCCTTTATGGAGCAAGCAAATGCGGGTCAAAATTGGGCTAACATTGTATCCATTTGTTTGTTTTACCTGTTGCCACCCGACAAATTTATATTTTTTTCGCGGTTTTACGAACATGGTTATCCCATCAACTTGTTCGCCCCTCCCCTCGGTAGTTCGGCCATGTCCACCCTTCACACAGACCTCAGTTCTTTTGGATATATTCACCTTTTGTGGTTCGTTTGAGGGCTTGTTGCCTCGGCAATCTTGCCACGCCCGTACCGGGCAACTAGATTGAGATCTATGCTTTATTGTGTGATTAAGTCAAAACTCTGAAAACATAGTTTGCAATTGTCTTCATTTCAAGATACTTCCTACAACGATTCTGGCAGGTGACCAACATCTTGGCTGATTGTAGTTCAGCTGAGAAGGCAAAATTACGGGGTTCGGTGCAGTGGGAAGACATTCATCGAATAGTGCACATTAAACTCTAAGTCCTGCTGGTACTCACCCTCCAGAAATACCTTTTTGTTGGTAGGCTTATGAAAGATATATGAGATATATTCACCCTCTTTCGTGTAAGGAGATAAGGAGGCTGGTAGTTGAGTTTTCCCACAATCATTTGAGTAGACATTACGTTTCGGTATAATTTCACATAGCCTTGCTTCCCAAATATTGTTCTCATCTCGGCTAAAGTGGACTGCAGTTTCGACCTCGTACTACCATCAGCAAACCCAGCAAGACTCGAACCCGGGTCGTTTAATCTCGACAGGTTAATCACTACCTTACACTGCCACGAGTGCCTTTGAGTCACAAGGCAAATCTGAACTTCCATATAGCAGTATGTGATGGGATTGTCGATGTAGCAAAGTAGTTTTTGCCATTTTAATCGTTTACATTACTTTTTTTTCGTTTATAAGTAGATTTTCGAGACTATCACTAGATCATATAGATCGAATTAAAATTCACATATGCCCTGTGACTTTGTGGAACTCGTTGCAGTCTAAAGTAATAATTAACGTATCGTAACGTAACGCTACACCATCATGGTTTGAGTCCCACTGGGGGTGCTGATGAGACCCAGGTGAGGTCAAAACTGCAGTTCAGCTTAGACAAAAATATTTTTCGGAAGCAAGGTTATGTGAAATGGAATGGAAACAAAAGGACTACTCATATGATTGTAGGAAACGAAATCTGGTTGATACATTCCATATATCCGGTCTACTAGAGTCTCGAAAACCTGAATGTAGATGGAAAAAGATGTTGGTGTCAGAGCAGACTTATTAGTAGTCAAGTCGGCAACCTAAAACCATCAGAAAGTCATCATTAGCAGAATATATGCGAAGAAAAGTTGGGTTTTGAGGAATCTCTTGTTTCATTTCATTTTGAATGAAAGTGTTGGGTGAAAAGATTCGAAAGTCGAGTTTTCTTGACTCGTTAGCTTGCATTTTGTTGTGACGGTGATAACTTGCTCTGATCATGTCCGTCATATGATGGACGAAAGCTGAGCACCTTTTCACCGGAATCGAAGGAGATTGCCTTGGAAACAGCGTCAGCATGAATTTTCCGGTAAAGCGAATCGATAGCTGGTCAAGAGGAATTCGCCGTCGTCTTCTGGTGGAACCGACCTTCGAATCTCTCCACCCAACAACACTCTTACTCGAAATGGAAGTAAGCTCAACAATCATTAGCAGAGCCACCCGAAGTCGTTTGAGGCCTGAAAGTTGTGTTTACCAGACTAAAATGGCTATGAGCGTCCAAGATATCATTGCATTTTGGTCGGCATTGACTCCTTTGAAAGTGCATGATAATTAAATTTTTTCGGATAATTTTAAAGGTAGACGAAGGCTGATACCAATTGTTTCCCAGCCCTTTAACTCTAATACAACGTTCAGGTTGACGCACTTCCCGAGGCATCTTTCCTCGTTTCGGGTAAAATCGGGTTAAACTCTCGTCCGTCATATGACGGGCGCTATACGAATTGGAAGTCATTCTTGCAAGTCTTAAGCTAACACTAAGCCAAGAAGAATATCTAACTCCATCTTACATGCTATATATAGTCATAAATAAAAACAAAAATGCATAAATTTAGATGGATATATAAAGAGTTGGTTGATTCTCTTTCATATTAATCAGGATACTAATACCTGAGTATGCGTGTGTATGTGTGTGTGTGCGTGTGTTAACGTTTATGCACAATACCGCCCATAGTTCAGGGTACTTACAAAATAGAATAGACTCAAGCTCGGGTCATCAAGGTTTAGTGGTTCAAGGAATTTCATTACCGATATTGTGTATGTGCGTAAGTAGCTTTGGCTGAAAGGATGAGATGTAAATGTGTACGCCTGTAAGCCAGGTTATGAAACCACCAGTCATAAACCGTCGTATCCAAGGCATAGGATTGTGAAACAACGTGTATCATTATATGATCTGAAAGTCTCTCCGATAATGTTATCTCAAAAGATACTTCGAATGCCAGCCATCCTTCGTATCCAAAAAGCCAGATTCGGCCCCGCCTGAGTCTGTATTTTACCTACAGTCCATTCAGAATGAGGTAGGCCTGGTAGCATTATGAGATACATTCATTTCTTCACTATAACTGAATAAATATAACCGGGCTTCTTATTCAAAAGCTAATGTAAGCCTCGAGACCTTCGCGTTTTGCATATGCATCCAAAGTCTGAATACTCCCGAAATACAATTTCGAGACTACCGGTAGCTCTTGAATAAGAGCTCTCTCGTCCCCGAAATTCAGATCTGCCCTTTGACGCAAAGGCACTTGTGGTAGTCTGAAATAGTGGCTAATGTGTCGGGGCTATACACTGCACTACCACAAGCCGAGTTCGAGTCCCTCTGGGAATCATGATGAGGCTTTGTCATCAGATTGTGGGAAAATTAAACTATCAGTCTTTCATCAATTTAAACGAAATAGGATAAATAAAGCTCTTATAAAATGTATAATTGTTGAAATCGGCAAACATGAAGCGATGTTTGAACTCCGCTCCTGACAACTCCAGTCTACTCTCTATTGAGCCATGAACTTGACGAAATGATCAAGAGTTTGGGCTTTAGGTCAGCCGCCTGCAGATGGAGACCCTGATCAAGCTCATATTCATGGTCTTGTTATTCTGTCTGCCTCAGACTTTAGGTTTGATAGCCAACAGCTGCCTCCTGAGGAAATTAGAATGTGTGATTTCGGCCAAACCGTGAGCATCAGCGGTGAAGGCTACCCTAATACAGGTTAACATACGCAAACAGACATACACAAGTATAATTACTTTGACTAATATGAAAGAGAACTAACTTAATCATTCTAAAAAATTATATCTCCGTCTATATATTTTCGTATTTACTCATGGACATATATATTTGGTGGAATGGAAACTCTTTTACTTAGTCTGACATGAATTTCCATTTCGCAGGAAAAGTTGGTTGGAAAGAATTCGTGATGTAGTCTCACCGGAAACCGAAGGAGGATTGCCACAGAGTGAAGACTGTTGAATTGTGCGAAGAAGTGCTCAGCCACGAATAACCAAAGAAGTTGAGCCGAGGACTTTTTCGCACAAAACAAGACTCCTTCCTACACGACAATCCTGCTTCGGCTTCCGGTGAGACCACTCTACGAATTCTTTCTAACCGACTTTGCCTTCGAAATGGAAAATCATGTCACAGGATCTGATGATACCCATCTTATAACGAACGAAAAGCTAGCCTGGTTTCATCCGGAACGAGCGAGGATGTCTTGTGGACTGCGTCACTACGACGGTCGTTTTAAAGTTAAATGGCTGCCAGAAAACGTGAAGTTGCCATCATCTTCTGCTGAGATCGTCGTACGGATTTCTTCATCAGATGCAATTTCATACAAAATGACGTCTCCATAAAAAGGTTACGTTTAGAAATTCACCTAAATCCAGTTATGTTCTGTATGCATATGAATGTAATCTACAAGTAGTCCAATCTTGTGTCAAGGTGACATTGGCACACATCGACTCCACATCCTGTATCACTTCCTTTGCCAGGCTGATCATGATCATTTCCAGTATCTGAATAGGGACGATCATAGCTTGCCTA